CTTCTACTACTACTACTGCTGCTGCTGCTACTACTACTACTACTAATCTACTACTTCTACTACTACTACTGCTGCTGCTGCTACTACTACTACTACTACTACTACTAATCTACTACTACTGCTGCTACTACTACTACTACTAATCTACTACTGCTACTACTACTACTAATCTACTACTACTACTACTACTGCTGCTACTACTACTACTAACTACTACTACTACTACTACTACTACTACTATTAATACTACTACTACTACTATTAATACTACTACTACTACTATTAATACTACTACTACTACTATTAATACTACTACTACTACTATTAATACTACTACTACTACTATTAATACTACTACTACTACTATTAATACTACTACTACTACTATTAATACTACTACTACTACTATTAATACTACTACTACTACTATTAATACTACTACTACTACTATTAATACTACTACTACTACTATTAATACTACTACTACTACTATTAATACTACTACTACTACTATTAATACTACTACTACTACTATTAATACTACTACTACTACTATTAATACTACTACTACTACTACTACTACTACTACTGCTACTACTAATAATAATAATAATAATAATAATAATAAAATAATAATAATAATTTTATTTTCTGACTGTAAAAGTAAAATGTTGCTGCAACAGCAATTAAACAAGCTGTGACAAATCCTACCACACGCAGCAGCCACAGTCGTCACCCCACAAATTTTTGGTCCATAAAACAGCCTCACAGCCACAAACTGTAGCCTTAATCTGTTGCCGGAAGAGAGCTTTTGGCAAAGCTCTGCAATTCAGAAGACAGCCATGCACCAGAATGAAACATAAGTTAAAAAATGAAAAAGATGTTCCATTTGTTAATGTAAGCAATAGATATAAGATAAAACTCGATGTTGACTGGGCTTAAATCTAAAGTAATTAACTGAAAATTCATTATTTTGAAGTTATTATCTGTGCCTTTCTAAATAAGAGCTTCAGGTACATCTCTAATAGATATCTTTTAAATTTTACATCTGATGCATTAATTAAATTGGCCCAAACAGTCTTACAAGGAATCTTTAGCATTATGTGATTTTCGTTTGGAATAAAATGGACTCGTTGGGCAGATTTATATTTCTTGCTCTCTTTCTCACTTGCCGATAACATTTACAGGTATGCATTTTATCAGTTCATGAATCCCCTGGGAATCAAACCCATGACACTGGCATTTCTAGCACCATGATCTACTCTTTGAGCATGGTTATCATTCGTGGAAATGTGGTTTGGTCACACAAGCCTGACACCTCATAAACTGGCTAAGCCATGAAGTATAGCCTTACTGCAGCATTATAAACATGACAAATAATCATGAATATAAAGATATCTTAGATGTAAAGTTAGCATGCTTGTATCACTGGTGCCAGTCTTAAATGCAAGGATGGATGCCTGCCATTTGAGGTAACGTGAGCAGCTCTCAGGGACAATAGACAGAGTAAATAAAGGGGCCAGATTTACTGAGGGGAGCATCTGAGGATGAGAGCAGACCTCGGATGATCAAAGTAAGACCCGTGTCACTGATTTGCATGGTGAGATGCATGGTGAGAATAAGCTCCTCCTCATAAGCTTGACTTTGATATACCACCTGAGGAAAGATTCTTCCTTTGGATCCTCTTATTCTTGGCCTATGGGAATCCAAACCTGATATTTAGTCTGGGAAGTTTTCTCAACACATTTAGGTTGCCTTTGAGCTCTTGTTTATTTCATGTCAAAGCAAAGCCATTATTTAAATATGAAAGTATATTTGTGGGTGTAACATGATGCTCTGGTTTGAGATGTCCTGATTTAAAATTCAAAAGTTTACTTGAAAATCCTTGAAAGTTTTTCGTATTTTTTTCAGTTTTGATTAATTTAAGCTTAGCTAACTAAGCTAAGTTATAATAAACATTATTATCAGGGCATATTGGCTATAACATTCAAACTTATATGGCTGGATTCTTGGATACATGGTCAAACAGTGAGATGCACACTGGATGTTATAAATATCTATTTGCCAGTGTGTCAATGATGGTTAATCTATTATTTATTCAATAATATGTTACAAATGTAATTCATACATACACTGAAAATGCATTTTACATGATGAGCATCCTTTAATTTTTGGAATAATAATAGTGATGATTTTTTT